ATTAAAATGGATACAGAAAATAAAAAAAACTTTTAATGCTTATAATTTAATTTTTTATTTCAAATTTAATAAAAAAATTAATGTAAAAAATTTTTTTAATTTTTTTAAATTTTGAATTTTTTAAATATTAGTTATGCGAATGAAGCTGATGACATTTGAGCAATGAGCCTTTGTTGCTGATAAAGAGGCTCTATCTGTGCAGGGAAATTCCACGTTGCTCTTCAAGCGAGCGTCTATCATCTCCACGGGCAGCAGCAACAATAGCGGCGCCGGAGAGGATTATGACTACGTAAATCTCGACTCACGAGAGGTTGTAGCGAAGCAACGAGAAGAATTGCGAGCCGCGCTGCCGCAGGAGCTCCGCAGCAACTACGATCTGCTGGTGTCCGAGGCGGACAATGCCACGATTCAGATGCCACCCACGACCCCGACGCCCATGGATCCCAACGATAAGCAATTGTTGGCCTTCTACGTCGCCCAGGTCATCACGCACGGCGCACACTTGACTCACGCCATTGACGCCTTTCTGCAAACGGTGGAGCATAATCAACCACCCAAGGCGAGTAAAATTGTAACAGTTCTTGTAATATTGGTACCACCCGCCGCGCTCCTTCATGCGAACCACGTAGACCTCGAGCATTAGTTGAAATAACAATCGATGTCATTTTCGTCATAATAAAAATAAAAATTTTAATTTTTTACGGTTGTTTTTCTATTTGAAGATACTTTTCTCAGAAATTATTTCATACATTGAGACGTTTGTTGATCGATGAAACAATGCTTAATGTAATTATTATCTTTACTCAATAAGAAAAGTTGATTAAAATCTATTGCAATCGTTCCAGAGGTTCAGTAAACATTTTCTTCCATTTTTTCATTTGGCGTTGTGCTTTTTTATTACGGAACTCATAAGTATATGTGCATATGGGTCAACAGTCTCGATAAGAATGATAGACTCGTAGATATCGGCAATGCACTATTGTGTGACAAGGTGCCTTAAGTTAGCTCACGTCAACTGCATGTTTCCATTACTTTTTCACGATGACCTCTTTTCCTTTACAAGTGCATTGCACGCAACGTGCCAGCATCGCGGTTAAAGATAAGTAGTTAGTAAAGTATCCATTATATAAAATCAGGAATGAAACGATAAAATTAGAAAATAATATTTGAAACCTTAGAATATTTTTTGTTGATAATTTTTTGTTCAAGCATTATCTTGGTGATTTTTATAAAACTTCCATCAATATTTCATCCGCACAAATTTAAATACCTATTCATCATATTCAAATAATTATTTATTCAAATCATTCATTCTTTAATCATTTATAATCTTTTTTGTTCACTGTCGAAATAAATTAAAATAAGAAGGATTTGTTTAAAACACGCAATGAAATTTTATAGGTTTTCCTAGCTCATGGCAAGTTCGTCGTGCTGAGTGCGCACCGACTAGTGCATATCGGCGATACGGTGCACCGAAATGTGACACGCAACGATGTGCGAACGCGCGTGCTACAATGCGCGAACGCTCTGAACGAGGCGCTCGGGCAGACGGTGCAGAAGACGAAGCAAGCCGCTCAATTCTTCCCGAGTGTTACCGCGGTTCAGGAGATGGTCGACAGCGTCGTCGACGTCTCGCACCTGGCCAAGGATCTCAAGGTCGCTATGATACACGCTGCTCAACAACCCTGAGGAGAATTGTCACGATACGGTCGCGAAACCACAAGTTCCTTAAATTGAGACGCGGTCCACGGTAGATTCTTCCTCGTTAATGGAGAAACTTTGAGACTGCGGAAGATTCAAACGCGTAACGCATTTTTGAATTTATCTCGCGATTAGAATTGATATACCGATCGCGTTGATAATTTGAAAATAACGCTTGAGGGATCATGTCTATTCGCTGTATTTTTTTCTTTTTTCGTCGAGATTTTTAAACGAATGTTGCTACGAATCTTTAGCACATTGATTAAATAGAATAATATTCTTTCTTATATGAAAGTGGATCAAAAGTATCTCAGGAATTTCTCATGGATGTGCTCTTTCAAGCGTTATCTGAGAGAATTGTTGGTGACTGACTTTTGAAATTCAGCCACTTACGAGTAGAAATACAATAGTACTGAATAAGCCTGTTATTTTTTTTTAAACGAGCACTAGTGCAAAAAGAACACTTAGAATCCCAACAGTACTTTCGATATTAAATGGCGAAATAATCAAACATGATCCATATACGCTTCACGAAAGTGAAAAAACATGTCCGGATATTCGCACACTTTAGTGCGTCTCGTGCAGCTATTATCCTATTTCATTATAAAGAAAATCCGTGGCCTAAAATAGGAACCTGCTACTGCCAAAGCTCCGGTATATAGATTGTAAGAAACGAAGAAAACCACAACCCTGGAACGAGTGTCTTTGTAATGTACTCGAAAATAATATAAGCATTGTAATCTTTCATAGGAAATATATGTAGCCGTTTAATTAGACGTTCAAGTAGACGTGATGTGAAACGGAGGCCAATAGCTTTCTGACTTGAGTAAAGCATTTCCGAAATGGCTTTCGCGAATTTGCGATCTTCTAAACACTGTTGTTTTACCACGTCGTAAAGTCCATTTCGGATATACGCCCACGACATATGTAGCTAAACGTGTTAGTAGTTTTATAGATGTATATGTATACAATAGAACATTACACACGCGAATAGACAGCTTGTATTCATATCTCTCTTTTTAGGGAACCAGTTTCACCGATATCAGTTACCCGTATTTTACTTATTCTTTTGGAAAGAATTAAAATAAAAAGGAATAACTTAAATTGCAATTACAATTAACTGATATTGCTGAAATCGACAACTAGCAATTTTAATGACGGGTTTGAAGCGTTTTGTAGTGAAGAATCATCACTGCTTTTACTTAAAAGGCAAAAGACCGATATGAATACCAATGTCGAATTGAAAAACAATCATGTTTCTCTTTTTGTAATTCGATCGTATATCAAAAAATTAACACCAAGAAAATTCAACGCAGATTCCTCTGTAGGCAGTACCTTTTTGGGACATCCCGTGAAGGCAAATTATTACTTATTGCGGACAGTTTTTTTAGAAGACAATTTTTAACGAATTTTATACAAAGCTTTTACCGCCGGGTTACGACTTTTTCGGATGCCCAGGCCTTTTTACCAGGCTCTTCCATAACAATGAATTAGTCACGTGCGCACATTGTGAATCGCAATCAGCGGCGGATCGAATTTGTTAACGCGCAAAAATTTCCATGGCAACTACGCGTACTCGCGAATCTTTTTGCACAACGAGACCAAAACGCCTTTTTAATAAAGCGAACGAACGGATGTTTTTATTAGATCTATAACAGGTCCTGTGACAGATTGACAATGCAAATGTTTGCATTTGACAATGCAAAGAATATCGCATTCAGAATTTTCGTTTTATCTCCTAGATTATTTTTTGTATTTCCATAACTTTCAAGTGGATCAATTATAAAATTTTAATTATTTAATCATTGAAACTCTCTCTGTTTACGTTAAAATGGATCTAAGGACTAAAGCTAAACCGAGGCTAAATCAAATGATATCATGTTAAAATCTGAAAAGATCAGCTGGATTATCTTTAAGTTCACGTTTGTTGAGGCCAAAAGTATGTATACGATCTAACTGCTAATTTGTGGCGCACTTGTTCTAATGGCATTCTCCACGTGCGAAAGTGTACTTAAAAATAGCTCATTGACTATAGCATTCACTCAACGCATGCGAAATCATCCAACTTTGTATCTATTAGAGTTTTACCGCGCCTCGTTTAAATAACGGAGATATAATTGTGATTGTGAATGCGATTACGCATGTTATTAACCGTGTAAAAATGTAACCGGCTGTTTTGTTGCAGCTTTAACGATAACGATTTATAAGAATTCTCCCATTTATCTGGAGATTTTATCTCTCCTTCTTTTTTATCTTATTTTGATTGATTAATGTGATTTACTGTTGTGTATAACAATGCAAATGTTTAATGAATATCCTGAAACGATCCTTTCAGGACAATTTATGACATTTATCTTACATTATATTTTTTTAGAGACTAGATATTCAAGCATATCGCGTATGAAGAAGCGTTTATACACGAACCTCGTTTATGAAACTTGTATTATAATTTATTGAGAAAGTGTTTTTGTAATATAATACGTATGTCAAGCAGTTATTTATATATATATATATATATAT